GCCGCGCCGGTGCGAGGCGCCGAAGGAGGCGCTCGTGCCGCGGCTGGGCGCCCGCGTCGCGCCATCGCCAAAGGAGGCACCAACGATCTGCCACCGCGCTCTCAGCGGCGACGGCGGCTGAGGCTCGCGCCTCGAGACCTCGAGACGCGCCGCCGGCGCGACAGGGGCAACGCCGTGGGTAAGGGTGACGTGGCGGTGAGCTTTGGGGGGGGGGAGGGGGGGGGGGGCAACCGGCGGCGCGAGTACACGCGTGCTGCAGGAGAGCACACTACTACGAGGGCTCTACGAGGGTTTACTGCGAGGGCGCCGACGCTTCTCTTTTGCCGAGTCGCTGCGCGCGTCGGTGTGTCGCCTCGAGCTTCTTTGGAGCTCGCGGGGCGCTGACGCGGGAGTGGGAGGGGGGCGGTGGGCAGCTGGCGGTGGGTCGCCCCGGTGCCGATCAAGGAGTACAGCTACAGGGCGTGCATTTGGGTTCTTGACAGTGAGAGGCGGGAGTCTCGCGACATGTCATGTGCGGAGACAGGTGGTGTTTTGCTGACGGTGGACGTGGCTTCTCTCGCGACGAGCATATAATTAAAGCCGTATTTCGCGAGGCTTTTTTTGACCGCGCAAGAGACGTATTGGTATAGGCTATGTATAGGGTAGAGCTCTATAGGGTGTGCGTGTGGCTCCGTGGACCGTGCCGCACTAATCCCGCGCCCCGGTTTTTTCGCCAGCCTAGTGCGTTCGGTTGATTGAGGAAACCCCTCGAGTTAGCTGCTTAGTCGCGTGCGCGTATGCTCGCTGTCGTTGCAGTCTCTGGAGGCTGCGCCGCGGCTCCCGAGCGGCGCGTGACCCGTGCCAGTTTTGGTAAGGTTTTGCGCACCCTCTCAACTGACTCCCTGAGGCAGGGTGGCGCGGGTGCGGGGTGGCTCGGCAGCTCGGCGGGAGGCCTCCGACCCGGCTACCTTGTGCTGTTGAAGTTGCTGCAGGAGACGCCGATGACGATGGCGCTGTCCTCGCGGCTGGCCAGCGTCCGGGCTCGCTGGCGCGCCGCCCGGGATAGCACTGACAGTCTGCCGGCGCAGCGGGCGCATTCGAATGCGCCCGCCGCGCCGGCAGACTGTTGGACGGCCACAGTCGCGAAAGTGGGGTGAAATCCGTGCGGCGCAGTGGCAGCGGTGGCCAGGCGGCCCCTCTCGGGGCCGCGTTGCGCAGGCGCGCCGCGCCATGAGCGGCGACCGTGGTGAGAACGCGATGTGCCACTTGCTCTCACTTAGCAGCTAACTATGATAGAACAAGTTTGAAAACCTGAGCGAAAAAACCGGGGGTCGGGATTAGTGCGGTCGCGACACCACTCCAGTCAGCAGGGTCACCTTATACGTACGCGTCGTTTGTGATGCCACCGTCGCATATCCGGATATGCGACGGTGGCTCAAGGTGACTGAGATACACCGTCGCAGCTCGCGCTCTGGCATCCCCCGACTCAGATCTGCCCGACTCCCAATCCTTATTCGTGGATCGATCCTACGAATGATCCGCAGCGGTCGCGTCGGCACTCAACGTCGGTTTGAGTCCACCCTCCGGGATGCTTACATGCTTTCTTTTGTTTCCGACGTTTTAGAGCCCCCTCTCATCAACTCATCGCGAGCGCTCGTTCCCCCCTCTTGCGGCCCTGCTTTTTGGGGTCCCGTACCACGCGGAATCGACCCTATCCAGTGCTCAAGTGCTCAAGTGCCATGCTTTTGTACTGTTTCTCAAAACGGACGGAGAGCGAGCGTCTTGCGCTGAGCCCATGACGGACGGAGAGCGAGCGAGTTGTGGAGGGGCCGACGTCGAGCTAACTGCGCGCTCGGCGAAAGCCCCTCAGGTGCCTGCGCGCCGCGACCACCCCCCGGTGTTTTGACACCATTATTCGGTATATTAACCTCGCGGCCGCCTAGATAGACTGAAAGAGTTAGACACCGCAGGAGCGACTGCTGCTGCTGCTGCTTTGGATTGCTGCTGTTGCGGCTGCGGCTGGCCTGCGGCTGCCGCTGCTGCTATTGACGCTAGATACGAACCCCACCCTGCCCCGCCGCCCGCCCACCCGCCCGCCCACCCGACCGCCTGCCGCCTGTCCGCCCGCCCGCCCGCCCGCCCCGCCCGCCCCGCCGCCCTGCCCACCCACCCAACCGCCCATACCTATCGCCACGCAGCCTCGTGACCTCCATATAGGCGCTCGATACCCCCTCTCGCTGCCTACTCGCTGCCTCTGGGGAGGAGGGGATTACGTAGGGCGCGCGCCACTGCGCTCGCCTTTCCCGAGGCCCCTCCCCGAAAGGCAAGTATTAGCCGCACGAAACCGAGACCCCTCCCCCCCGCCCCGATCCCCCCACCCCCTTGCTCCACTCCCCCCCTCGGGAGGGCCGAAGAGAGGCGCCCGTGGGGACCCCGCAATTCCCTTCCCCCCTCGGAGGGCCGGACTGAGGCGTACCCCGAGGGCCCCGCTCTGTCCCTCGCATAGCGGCCACTCTTCGGATCGCTGGTCGAGCGACCCGGGGGATGCCCCGCGCGCCTGACCCAGGGGCGCGAAAACGAATCTGCGAGGCGCGGCCGCTTATGCGGCCCGATGGGGAGGAGTGGGGCGGACTACGGGGGTCGGCTTCTTACACAGCCCTTCCCTGCAGCGAGCCCCCTCCAACCCACCCGCGCTAGGTCTCGGGGGACGCAGGGGTCACACCCGACGACCTCGGGAACTAGCCGGGGCAGTCGGAGAAGGGGCAACTCCGTGCACTGACGGTCGGCCGCCAGAAAACACGCCTGCGTGGATCGCGTCACACCAATCCTCGCTACCCAACCGGCCAAAGGATATCCACCTCACAACCTCGAGAAACGGACGAGAAGTTAAAATGCGAGAGTTCTGGGGACAAGATCAGACCGCACATTACTCTCGAAGGTGTGCACATGTGGCTCGCCCACTGTGTTGCGGGCGTGGGACCGACAGACCCGCGTTTCGTCGCCGACGTGCAGGGGTTGGCGAGACGCTCCCTCCCATCGACGCGGATCGCGGTGGTGGTGCCCATCTGCGTCAAGTGCGGAGAAGCGACAAAGCTGATTGCCACAGCAAACCGCTGGACCAAGTCTAGCGGGTTGCCGTGCATGGCAGCGGCAGGAGTTGAGTATACCGCTTCCGCGTCTTCTTCCGACGCTCGCCTCAGATCGGAGTGCGAAATGCTGCCATCCTCCGATTTCGTGCCTCGGCCTGGGAGGATGCAAGACCTCGCCAATGGTGACATCTCCGCAGACCTCATAATCTACCAAGAGATGGAGTTTGTGCAGCGTGCGACGGCCATGCGGCTGTTCGGCCGCGCGGCGGCCTGCTTTCGAAACCTCGCGGTCGTCACCGCCCACCTCGCGCACGAGGACGACAGCTACCCGCGTGCGCCCAACGTCATGTTTTATCAGCTGGCAACGGAGCTGCTCAAGCTTCGCGCGTACAGCTATTGGGTGCAGCTGGAGACGGACTCAGTACCGCTGCGCCCTCGCTGGCTGGAGTATCTAGCAGCGAGGATCCCTCCACGGACAGACGGCTTTTGGGTCAAGGGGAGCGCTCCGAGGCATCACTGCAGCTGGTGCAATTTGGAGGAGGGATACCACATCAATGGGAACGCTCTGTATAACGCGCGCGACGAAGCCTTCCTCGCCTTCATTCAGCGCACATGGAGCTTTGCTGGCAACCACACGGAGCCGTACGATGTCGCCCTCTTCGAACGGGCGCGTAGCAGCGACCGGAGTACTTGGACGATGTTGGGCGGCAAGTCTGTCGGCCGGCTGTTTCAGTTCTCCGATGTCATCGTGAGCTACTACTGGCCCATCGCATTCGAACGCGCCGTGAGGCGCTACCCTTGCGCGGTGCTCTTGCACGGCAATCACTCTCGCTCGCACGCCCAGGATCTCACGTCGCGCCTCACGAGTAGAGCCATCCTGCAAAATGCTGGAAGAAGGCTTTGACGACCGGGGGGGCCGGGAGCACCTAATCATTGAGTGCCCTCTTGCTAGAATAGCACAAGCCTCGGCCGAAGTTTTCTTTTATAGGGAGCAGATCCGGGATCCCAATAGGGCAATCATCACGGATGAAGAGTAATAAGAGAAAGAGCCGCGCGGCCCCGACGCAACTCGTCTACCGCGTCGTCAGCGAGACCCATCTCGATGAAGAGCGGCGAACGGGCAGCGACCAGAGACACCGCGCCCGGTCATCGCTCTCGCCGCCCTCACTGGCTTGGCACTCCTTGTATCTCGCAACAATCCCAACAGCAATGGCATGGCACCAGACCTGCCTGCGTCTCGCCACCCACCGGAAAAGCAGGACGACGTTGCAGTTCCGTCTCCTCCGCAACTGTTTTTCTGCGACGAGAGCCTTTGCACAAGCGCCAATGGTGACTGCTGTGCGCCGACGCACGGCCAGTGCGACGATAGCCTCTGCACGAGTGCTGGTGGCGACTGCTGTGCGCCGAATGGTGAGGAGGCGACCTGCAGCGGCGGTTTTGTGCCCGTGCGTACATATGAAACCTGCCAAAACTGGATCGGAGGCGCGTACACGTGCTGCTCCGGCGAGGAGGCGACCTGCAGCGGCGGGTTTGTGCCCGTGCGTACAGGGAATGATTGCCAGAACTATTTCAAGGGAGAGTACACGTGCTGCTCGACGACCGCGCCGCCGTACCCGCCACCCTGTGCTTATCCCGCGCCACCCCCTGGGGCGTGGCAGCAGACGCCCTACCCCTGCCCCCCTCCCCCGCCCGCCCCTCCTCTGCCGCCGTCCGTCCCCCTCTCCTGTGCAAATTGTTACGTAATCCGCGGCGTATTCGGAACCCGCGGCGTGTGTCCTGGCGGGTCCGGATGACGAAGGCAAACGTGAAGGCATCTGTTATGCTAGCAATCGACCGGGCGATAACGGCCCTACCTCGGCTTGCACGCCGGATCCAGGCCAGGGCCCTACCTTGGCACAATATGGATGCCTTATTGCGGCCGCCAGCAGCTCCGCCCTCTCCGCCCGCTCCGCCCCCTGCACCCTTTGCGCAGACCCTCAAGTACGCCCCGCTCTGCCAGAACTCGGTGTTCTACTCTACGCAGTGCAACCTCTCCGCCCTCGCCATTGGCCTCATCGTGGGCGCGGCATGCATCGGCGGCATCGTGACCCTGATTCTAGTCGTGATCGCCTGCAAGTGCGCCCTGAGCGACAAGGCCGCCGCCGCCCCCAAGGCGGCCTCCGCTGCGACGCCGGCCGCGAGCGGCCGAGCGAGCGCCTGCTCCACCACCCAGCGAATGACCGCCGCATGAGCTTCATGAGTTTGTGCTGCAACCTCCAATCGCTACCTCACACATCGCAGTATCCTTTTCGTCGGAGGGCGAGGCCGGAGAGCTTCCATCAGCGAGCCGGAGCTTTTGGCGCCGAGCCATCTCGCCTCATCACGCACGGCGCCTAAATTCTTCTCAGGGCGCATTTCTCTTCTTGACGCGCGAGAGGGCAACATCGAAGCTCGGCGACTATGCTCTGCTGTTTGCCGAGCGCGCCGGCCGCCGCGGTGCACCCCGTGCGACAGGAGCCTGCGTGGGGTTGGCATCCGTGGCCCCAACCAAATACACATACTTAAAATCTATTCGAGCCGCGTGCTCCCTGTCAGCAGATTCACGCTCTCCGGCTGATACTGCACTGTTGTGGTGAAAGTGAGGGGTGAGGGGGCTCAGGGCTGATCTGCAGTCAGCTCGTCCACGAGCTGTTGCACTCGGCTGAAGCCATGACGAAAAGCGTGCAAGCCGGAGAGCACAGCCCTCCACTTGCGCCGAAGGATGCCGCGCTTGTCGTGCTCCAAGTCGTGCGTTGCGACCTCTCTCACCATCTCCTCGAAGCTCGTTGCGAGCGCCGGAACCACCCCAGGCAACGGGAAATCGTCGCCCGGCGACCTCGCCCCGCTGATCACGTTTCGAAGGCTGATCTGCATCGAAGCTGTCCGCTCGGCGCCGAATTGCTGGCGGAGCAGGCGCAGCAGCCCATCGGCCGACTCTGTTCGTGTGGCGTCGCGAAGGAGGCCACGCAGCGCGCGGATCTCCGCGTGAGCACGCAGCGCATGATGCACACATGCCTTCGGGTGCGTGCCGATACCGAATGTGCGCGTGAACCAGCGCAGATAGAGGAACGCCGCGCCGCGGTCGATCGTTCGCCCTTGACTGGCCCTCCAGCCGACGACGCTGTCGAGGGACGCATGGAAGATGCCGCGTCGCCCATCTGGCAGGATCGCGTCGACGGAGTCCCATTGGAGCATACCCGCCGGCGAGCGGCGCCAAGATTCTGGCTGGAGCCGCGAATCGCTCACCATGTCCTGGCCAGAGTGGAACATGTCCTCCAGCCGCAAAATCAGCTGGTTTCGATCCATGGCCTCTACGGTGGCCACGTCCGAGAGGCCCAGCTCCAGCGGCTGCACGCCAAGAAGCCGGCTGACCAGCAGCGTCTGCCAGCAGGTCAACGCATTTGCGCGGTCAACGAACCGGTGGTTCGGTTCGTTCCGTAACCACAAGATGTGAGTGGCGACACGGTGCGCGAGTCGCTCTGCGCAATGCGCCGCCCACTCCGTGAAATCGATCTCGACGAGTCGAACCTCCTCCACTGCTGGAAAGGTCGTCGTGCACTGGAGAATCTTGGCAAGCTCGGCGGCATGCAGGCTGCGTACTGCCTCGCAGACCTGCTGCTTGAGCTGGGCGCACACGGCGCGCAGAGCTGCCAGCTCGTGGATTGACAACTGCTCGGCTCTGACCTCCAGCAACACGTCGAGGCTGTTGGAAAACTGTGCGTGCATGTTGAGCGGAGACGCGGCCGAGGGAGACGAGTCTTGTGCACGAGCGATTTTTTATTTTTTATTCTACCAGTTAGAGGGCTCAGCGGGTATTTTTCGCTTCGCTGCGCGGCCCCGCAATAGGTAGGTAGGTGGGGCACGGAGCCTGGCGGTTGGCGCCCGCAATAGGTAGGTAGGTAGGGCGTTTTGGTGTGAGTGCGCAGACCCCCTATCTGGGTAGGAGCCGGAACCCTGGCGGGATAAATGGCTGGGAATCTCTTCGTGCTGTTTGCGTCCGTCGCCGCCTTCAGCCCACGCCACTGGCCCTCCCGCTCTGGCCGCACCCGGCACGCCATTCCCGCCGCCGACGGCTCCGCCGACGAGGGATTGCCCGAGCTGCAGCGTTGCGTCCTCGTCGCCGAGCTGGAGTGCCGCGCCAAGCAGTGCGTTGTGGACGGGGACCTGGCGGGCGAGGCCGCCTCTTACCGCGAGCTGCTGAGCCTCGAGCCTCCGACCGCACCGTGGCTCTCCGCGGCCACCAGCGCGCGGCGCGGGCTGCAGGAGCTGCTGCTGCAGAGCGCGCAGCGGGAGCTCGAGCAGTGCGGAGAGGAGGGGTGCCGGCCCGACCCTGGCCAGTTCGGAGACCACCTGGGGCCGCTCATCCAGCAGGCGAGGCGCGCCGGCGAGGAGGTGCGGCAGACGCTCGCCTCGC